TACAAACTAATAGGAAACAAATGCAATGTCAGGGAACAGAAGAGGGGGAAGACCGCACTGCTGGTATTTTAGAATATGGGGACAACTAACACTTTTCAGTAAAACTTGATGTGCCTGACACCTTTGTCACCCATTTCAAAGTCCTATTTGCGTTTTAGAAAATTATTTTGAATAAATTAATCTTGCAAAATAACCGTCAAAATGCTAAACAGCTATTACAGCTACAGCACCAGTCCTGTGGACCAGTCTGGGCACATCCAGTACGCGGTTCCAACTGGGAAGCATTTTAAGGTATGGAAGTCAAAGATCTGCTTGGGATGCACTGCTTGGGCACAGCAGCCTGCCTGCCTTTTGTGGGACGTTTTTAATGTCTTCACTTCAACACTTCAAACTCTAAACTCTACACTTTCATATACTTTTGAAATATGGGAAGAAACAACCAATGTTTTCTTTAATGAAATCTTAAGTACTTTCTGCTCTGAATCTTTTGAAGCGCTAGTGATCAATATCTTTCCTGGTCCAAACATATTACTTCTAGAAACATCATCAGATAATAGTTCTAAGCATCTCCCCAAATCACATATGAGTACACTTTTGCAAAATATTATTACTTCGTTCTGTCTTTGCTATCTCTCAACATAAGAGATTGCGATGACTCTGTATAGGCACAAAGGAATGAAAGATGGCATGTGAGTTAGAAACTGGGAGGCTGCTCTGCAGCTCTCAGACACAATCTCTGATGTTACAATCTACAAAGCTTGTACCTTTCTTCTACAGAAACGTTGTAAAGACAATTTATTCCATTCGTATTTAAGTTTTTCACCTGGATTAAAAGGTTGAATAGACCATCCTTTGAAAATGTCATGCATTTTTGAGTTGACAGGTTTATTTTTTCCAGCAATGGTCTTAACATCAGCTTTCTTATCTTCTAAACCTGGTACCTTCATGCAGTAATCCAGGAAACCATTTGATCTCATTATTTCTGTATATCCTCGCTCGCAGCCGCAGACTCCTCTCTAGGCGACAAAAGGGAATTCAGTATAAGGCAAATAGTATCTTATCGCAGAGCAGTGCAAACTGGAGGCAAACTATGAAGAAACTGCAAGGTATATCCTGCACATGCAACTTCACCACCACCAAACCAAACAAGCCAGGAACTAGTGCCTGCAAACCTATCTCAGTTCAAAAAGCCAAAATATATTCCGGGAATTGCTTGAAAAAGAGTCAGTAATTACGGAGAAGCCCAACATAGAAACATTTTCATCCTAACAGGCTTAATGACAGGCATTTGTGGCTTGATCCAAACTCCTCTTGTCAATAACAATTTTCCCACTGACCCTGCTGGGCATTAGAAGAGACGAACAAGAAATAATCCCACTTCAGACCCAAATCCTCCCCACGTATTTCCACTCCGGTATTTCACAGGGCTATCTGAAAAGAAGCTTGCTTTCTTACGGCCAAATATCCACCGCCCTGGGTCAGGCTAAGAAGTTGCTTCAAGAGGTTTCTTAGAAGTCTGTGGTTTGCTAAATACGTACTTTTCTGGATTTCTACTTAAAATAGCTTTTTTAGATTGTTTTTCTTTGCTAATTATATTATGATTACTAACACCTGCCTGAGAGTCTGATACCCTCCGTTAAGATCCAAACAGGTGATTGATTTACAATCTCTGTGATAAGAATTTAACTCTTGACATCAGTTTTGTTGCCACAACATCCACCCCTTGTTGACAGACATGATCCTGAGCTTTTTGGGACAAAAGGCGAAGTCTCAAGAGTTTTTACAGCTAATAAATTCATCCTTACCCATCGTTTTTTTATCTTCATGTGGGCTCTGAACACTCTCATGAGCACCCTCTCAGCCACATTCAGTTGCCCATGAGCTAGTTTCCAATGGTCATTCTGCAGCTGAAGCTGAGAGCTGTGGAGGCTATTTTCAAAATATAAATATCTAAACCCCAACTGCCCCTGGCTACTTTAAGGTTTCTGGGTTTTATACTCCATCACAGTACTGACATGGACAAGGCATTTGGGGAAGCTCTTACTCTGGAGTTTGGTACTGCAGGAAGGGACATTCGTAACTTCGGGGCTCGTGTTTGCTCAGAGGCAAAGAAGTGGCAGTGGCTCCACGATCCACCAAGTGTTGCAGATGCCCAACATTTCAGCAAAAAAGGTTACTTCCAGGTTTTGCTTCAGAAGGCAGTATGAGGATGGTGGGATCATGCTGCTACGGCTTCCCTATGCTCACAGGGGCTTTCTGTGTCCGTGGAGGAGCAGGAAAGGACATACTCTTTTATCTCCTCTTTTACAGACGTTTTAAACGGTCCATTTTCTACAGGACAGTACAATACCATTCACTGAAAATTAAACCAAGAGGTTCCAAAACCCCTCCACAGAACAAAAGCAAGCTTGTAACAACACATAAATACCCCATCACTCGTTTGTACAGGTTTATCGTTTCCGTCCAGACTGAAATTCCCAAAATTTCCTCGAGGTGGTACCATGGACACACTAAACTATATTCTAGGCACTGGAATGCATGTAAAATACAGAAGCTAATTGAATAAATTTTGCACTGTTAATTTCTCAACCATATTCTGCAGCGAGCAATTACCTGTGTGCAGTAGGAGAACGGTTTTCTGCACGCCGGGCTGCAGTGCCGAACTTCTGCAGGTTTCGTCCGAAGAGCACACCCTCCTGTAAAAGCAAATACTGAGTGCCTTCAAGGGCATGTTTTAAAATGTTTTTAACTCGGTCATCACAGTGTAAGAAGTGCTTGCTAGTTTATTTTATATAGTTAAATACTAGTCTATTGAGCACATTAGCATAATATCTGTAGGCATTGCATTAATTAATTTGCCTTAACAAGGCAGGGAATTATTATCATACCCATCTTGTTAATGGAGAACAGAGATATACAGATTTAAGCAATTTGCCACAGGCCACATAGGAAGTTGGGGACAGAATCAGGAATTAGATGCAGATCTTCTGTGTCCTCATTAATGTCTTATATACATAAGAAGACATAATCCACATAACGCCTTTGCCCATCCTCACTTGGGGAAGTCTGTGCTTCTATAGGAATAAAAACATGTTAATGAGTTCTTAACTACTCGGCAACCTTTGCACATAAAACTTCTGTTATTATCTTAACTAGTCATTATAAATAGAACTAGATAAGAATATCTGCATTTTCATTTCTACTCTCTCCTTATTCATCCTGTGCATATTGAGAGATCCTAAGGATGTGCAAGCCCTAACGTCTTTGCCAATCTCTCGGGGAGCTTCAAAGTGCTGACCATGAACTTCCCTTCTCATCCCGCGCAGGCAGGATTTGTAGGTCAGGACAACAGCAGGAATCTCACCGTTTGAACGATCTGAGATTCCTGCGTGTTGAACAGAAGAAGAGGTACAGAAGCCGGGCTCGCTACCACGCGTGTGATGTCCTCTTCTGTTCTCCACAGTTACAGGAAGGTTGCACTAATGGCTGTGCAAGCCAGCCCAGGCAGCCTTTTTAGTATTTGTACACTTACTTCTCCCCATAACCAACCCAACAGTATGGGTAACTTGCCCAAATACTCTCAGGTAATACATGTGTGATGTTGATCTGATAGAAAGGCTGGAGATCTCCCATCTGTCTTTCCTACACACAAATCTGAACTGAAATTCTGGAGGAGTTAGGAAGGATGTCCAGCTTCCCTCGGAGCAACTGAGGCAGAAGAAGAAAAACCTGGATGGAGACTTTTCATTCATAATCATGCACGGCAACTAGTGGATATACCTGTGACATTTATTCCATCTGAGCGCTGACACCACACTGTGCGTACGTTGTCTCGCCAAAGGCTGGTTTTCCACAGGTAGTCGTAACACTTCCCTCCTGCAATATCAGTACCAGTTAGTCTTCACCTTGCAACCAAACCAGAATAAACTCTTGAACGGGAGGAAGCGGCTCTGTGGCCATGCTACCTGAGCAAGGTCGTGTTTCCATTGCTTGTCCGGAGCAGCTCTCCTGGTTCTCAGGAGACTGAACGATAAACGCTCTGGATCGAGACTGGCGCCCCGTTGTCTCGAAGCTCCTGCCATTGATGCAGGTGAGCTCACAGGAGCTCCACTCTGACCACTCTGTCAGGTGGCAGTCACCTGCACGTTGAAAGAATAAAGGTTTTCAAAAGGAATCAGCCTTAAAGGATAAGGACAACCTAAGCAGACAATAGCTTTAATAGTGAAATACCCCCAGTTTATCATCCAGTGGTATGCAATATTCAGATTTTCCGCTTCATGGGGAATCTCTTTTCTCAAAAACCAAAAGAAGTCTTTATCAGGTGATCTAGAAACAGCAGACTAAGCATTTACCTGATCCACTGAAGTACAAATTCTTACTATGACAGCTGACAGTACTCAGAGCTATGGAAGCATCTGCATCTCAGACAGCTATCACAGGCAGAAACGCACCACAACTTTCCAAAGATGTTACCTGGGCAAGGCACAGAGCATGGTAACTGCAGCACACTCTCTTTCGATGGCAGCTCACCACATAGTGCATTTTCTACTGGTTTGGATGTAGCAGAAACAGATGCATTGTGCACTACACATGTGAGGTTGCGGACTTGCAATCCATCTCCACACTGTCCACCCTACGAAACGATAGAAGGCAACAGAGACACACATCGCTGACATTAGCAGATGACAGAAGAAACACAGTTGATTCCACCTAAAAAGACTTCAAAGATACAAATTTGCTCTTTGGACTGCAGTAGTATCCCCAGCTATGGGAAGACAGAGATCTCCTCTGTACACACCTCCACAGAAGCTCAGAGGCAGGGGTAGAGTCACACAGGGAAGTGTGTTGCGACAAAAGCTGGAGAAGAGGTGGGCACCAGAAAAGATGAATACCACCTTTGGGGTCGGCCCTTCATGCCTTTTACTAGAGCTAGTGAATTTACTGATTCTTAATTAGTGCCCAGTTACACGAACACAGAAATTTTGGCTTCTCTAAAGAGGTCAAGGGCAGAATGGATGCACGTCCGTTCCCATAAGGAACAGACATTTCCACTCCCCTCCTTTGACGATACAGCCCAACAGGAGCACTTACACGATTTAAACCCCACAACAGCAGAAAACCTCCAGCGCACATAATTAGACCGCAAGGGTTATTGCGCCCTAGGCTGTTTGTGTAATCTATTAAAGGGAGCTATTGGTTCTGGAGTAGACAGAGACCACCACCTCGTGTCACATATTCTACCAAAACACCACTCAAAGTCAGCCATCACCTGTTAGTACCAAACCCCATTTGAACAAGGAATAGGAGGCTCCATCTGAGCCACTCCACGCTCGTCAGCCTAGTTCTGAAATACTTAGTCAGACACCAAACTACTGGCTGAAGACGACTTCCTTTACCGGAAAATCAGTATTGTTTCGCTAAAGCGATGATCAAGGGCTGAGAACGCTGTAAGAGCTGAAGCACTGGGGCTATTTCTAAAGGCTGGAATTGTTTCATCCTCATCTGAAAACCAGAGCTGCAACGATGTTTGAGGTGCATACCTTAAACTTGTATGGTGCTTTATAAACGTGCGCCTGAAGCCTTGCGGAAATGGCACTTCACAAAATTCAGTACATAAAACTCTAGAAGAAGGATGAAACATTGCTTTTATATAACCAAGGGAAGTGCTCCTTTGGATCACTTGGCAGTGGATTCTTTTACAATAATGGACTTCATCTGCAGAACAGAATGGGTCCTACTGAGTGCATTCATTCAGCAGTGGGTTTGCTAGCAGGAATCTCAAGAATGGCTCTCCTGAACACAACTGGTAGCCTTTTCATTCTCTCCGTCCCTTCTGTTTCAGACCCACAATGAAATGGAAATAGGAGCATAACTAGATGGATTTAGAGCAGTTGCTAATGGAAAGCATCTTAGAGAAGTAATAGTGTAGATTTACCATATGCAGCCAGATTTCAAGTTTTGAACACCGTGTTTCACTTTAGTCAGTATGTAACTTACTGTTCTAAATTACCGTTTCACCACTGAAACCTCTATTGTGGTCTGAGATTAATGGTGTGTGAATAACTGAAGCAGCTGTCAATTGGGTTAGAGCTCCTAGAAATGGCTGGCGGAAACAAAAGACAATGTGGAGAAAATTCTCAGGGGAAATGGGCACTAAGCAAACTGCAGTGTATTTCCAGCTCAAAGTGACTCAAGGAATGACTAAATGGCTGGAGAGGACAAAAAGTTTTTAAAACCACAATTATTCTTCTGTAAACTATATATAAGTATTTATACATACAACAATAGATAAATAGTTACCTGAATTCCGAGATACAAACATAAATAGGTGAAAACAATACATTTTTTTGGTACAGCAGTCTCCACTACAGAAGTCCACATGGAACTTTCTTCATTCTTCTAGCATGTAATATTGGAAAT